CTAGCTGTAACTGTGAGAAGAGTGAGGATTGCCTGTGTGCCGTCTTCTCCTCCTACGCTCGGGCTTGTGCATCAAAGGGAGTGTTCCTGACAGACTGGAGAGGGAACGTGTGCGGTAAGGTTTTCTCTGATTATGTTGTGATGATTGCTGGAGTTTGATGAACATCATCATCATCAAGTCATAACACTGTTGAGTAACCATCCTCACATTGTTCACAAAACAGATAAATACACAAGGAGCTGCCCAGCATCTCAGATCTTCTCTTACCAGCATCAGAGATGCCAGCTGACTTGCAGATCACTGGACACAATGCAGCAAAGTTGCACTTCTGACTTCTTGCCTGTGGATGGCTGCTCCTGCGCTGAGGGTCTCTACCTGAACGAAAAGGGTGACTGTGTCCCCAAGGCAAAATGTCCCTGCTACCATAATGAGGCCTACATCAAGTCTGGAAAGTCCATCAACATTAAAGACGAGCACTGGTGAGTCAGCTGTTTGCAATTTGGTGACATTGGACTTCTGTCATCCTAGACTAAGGATTTAACATGATTGTAAGAAGTTCAGCATTTAAAGGTCCATTGTGTAGGATTTAGAGGGATATATTAGCAGAAATTGATTATGATAAGTATATTTTCTTTAGTTTGTAATCACCTAAAAGTAAGAATCCTGTTTCTCGTTACTTTAGAGTGAGCTGTTTATATCTACATAGAGATCAGGTCCTCTTCCACGGAGACTGGCATGTTGCACTGCCATGTTTCTAAAGTGGTCCAGAATGAAAAACCAAACTCTGGCTCTTTGTGTTTTCGCATTGGCCACCATAGTTAGCAACCCCTCCCCAACAAGCAGCATCAGGAAAAACACTGATTTTTAATATGAAACTGCTTTATTCAGTGTTTTTAGTGGTTTAAATCACCCGGTCCATTTGTTTTGGAGAGGAGGAGACCTCTGTCGACAATTCGGCTGTATGTCTCAATTTTAAGTTATCAGTGAAAAAAAGGTTAAGCACACATTAGCAGGTGCTTAAACTGCTGTGCTCAGTGTTTTTACTAGTTTCAGTCACCTGGTTTGTTTGTTTTGGAGAGGAAGAGACCTCTGCGGATAATTTGGCTCCTGGTAAAAACCTCCTGAACAATAAACACTGAAGGAATTCTAATTGGGAGAAGTTTCAGCTGGTTGCAATTTGCCATCCTCACCACTAGATGCCACTAAATCCCCCTAAATCTTACACACTGGACCTTTAAGATGTAGTTCAACTAAATTTTTAGTTTTCAAGTACTTTTGTGTTTCCTTCTAATGTCTTTGTTGTCTGTTTATAGTGTGTGTACTAATGGAATACTTCACTGCCATTCTTGGAGAACCAGCTCATCAAGTATGTTTTTGTTGTATTTGTTTTACCACAGCACAAGCGCTTTATTGACATTGGCCTTGTTGATAGTTAATATGTATATTAAATAGGTTTCTACCTCTGTTGTAGTGTGCACTTCTCCAAAAGTATTCTTCAACTGCTCTGCTGTGGCACCAGGAGAGCTTGGACTGCAGTGTGCTCGAACTTGTTTAAATCTGAACAACGATGAGTGTGTGAGTTCTCAGTCTCAAATAACTATATCTAATATCTATTTTCTGAATTTAATGGTGGGCAGTATGACACACTGTGGATAGTAACACTAGTGTCCACATTGGTTTGTAGAGTGGTTTGAACAGAAACTTTTAACTGTATCACTAATGTTTCCTTGTTTTCTATCACTGTGATCTTCCCAGGACTCCACAGAGTGTGAATCTGGCTGTCGTTGTCCAAATGGCCTCCTTGATGATGGCAAAGGTTCCTGCGTGAAAGAAAATCAATGTCCATGTCAGCACAATGGGCATATTTATGCCTCTGGATCACAAATCTCTAAACAGTGCAACAAGTGGTATGATCGTGTTTTTAATCAGACCTATAATGTAATATGAAAATTATCATATTTGCCTCTATGTTTTACTTGGTTGCGGTATTCAAAACACATTTGTATTCAACCATTTCTGATCTAGCACCTGCAACAGTGGAAGCTGGGGGTGCACTAAAAAAGACTGTCCAGGAACCTGCACTATGTATGGGAGTGGTCACTACAGTACATTTGATGAGCAGACATATGGGTTTCATGGAGAGTGTGCCTATGTTGCTGTTAAGGTAACAAAGCATGTTAAAATCATTCAAATGACAGGCTGTGTCCAAATCACTCCCTTCTTCTCTCATATTTCAGTCCAAGTCATGTGACTCAAGTCCACACCTCTGCTGTGGAGTGAAATTGGGAGTGATTCCAGACAAAGCCAAAGAGTTATGCTTTAATGTATAATGTTCTAGAAGGTATCATCTCAGAATGTCACAGATATGCCATTTATGAAATTATGAAGTATTGCTAATTTTAACCATCCAAGCTGAAATATTTAGTATGTTTACCGACATTCCCTTTAAGATGACTGCTTGTCTTAATGATGCAGATAACTATATGGTCTCACTCCTCTGGGAATCAAAAACACATTTATTTCATGTTCTAGCTTTTCTTTAACAATCTTTAAGTATTGTGAAGTAGTAAAGGCCAAGCTGAAGGTAGATCTGATCAGAAAGCATGAAAAATGTTGAATGAATCTCTCTTTTTAGAGCAATTGTGGCGATAAAACAGTACAGCAGCACTTTGGAGTTATCACAGAAAATGTACCATGTGGAACTACAGGCACCACATGCTCCAAAACTGTCCGAATCCAACTAGGGGTAAGACCTCATACCAACACCTGATATGTATTTTGTGCCTAAAATATTGAACATACTCAAGTAAATCATGTCACATGTGAAACTGCAGTTTTTACACTACAATAAAAGCAACAAAAATCTCCTTATCATTACAGCAAATGGAAATCAAACTTTCAAAGGGCACATATGAAGAGGTGGAACTGGGACGTGGCACTGAGATTCAGTACCGAATAAGGAAGGTTGGCATGTATTGGGTGATAGAATCTGGCATTGGTCTGGCAGTGATGTGGGATGGCAAAACTACTGTTCGCATCATCCTGGAACCAGAGCACAAAGTGAGTCACCATAATTGTTTTAATGAAGATGACTGAAATATGTTATGGCAAGAGTTTGAGTTAGAGTTTTGACATGAAGTAGTTTACCAATTATCATTATTATTTTTTTTAAATCTGTAGTCTCACTGTCTTTGCGGATCATTTTCTTACAACACTTACAAAGCTTTAAGACAATAATGGTAATAATGTACAATATATCAAAGGTCCCATACAATCCAAAGTCAGATTCCCATGTGTTTTTTAATATATAGGTGACGTATAAATACTGTGAAAATATCAAAGTGTTAAATCCACAAAGAAATTCACACTGTCAATATTCAGAATCTGTGCCTTTAAAGGAGCCAACAGGACTCCTGTGAGGTTGTGATGTCACATATATATATATAGACTATTTCAAACTTGAAACATAACATTATAGATGGATCCCTCTGTATTTCCTGTTGGAATGTTTTGCACTGTATGTGAATGACATCAGCTGACAGGAAATAAACATGGACCCAAGCTGCTGCCTAGAAATGTGATTCCAGTGAAATGTTGTATAAGGATAGAAAGTGGCACTACAGTAACAAGTCATTCCCTTGGCTGCAACGATAGTGCCAAGAGTGCAGGGCTGTGTTCAGCCCTGACAAAATGTAGCAAAATGTTATTTTTAACTGAAACAGTGGTACATTAAACACCCAGTTGTGTTACGTAAGCACACTGCCTTCTAATATGATGGGGTTTAACTCAGTTCCATTCACAGGGACTTTATTAGCATGGAAAACAGACGTTTACTTTGCCAAAGCAAGTGTGAAGTAAAAACAAAAATTGTATGTACAATAAGTAAAGATCTACCAGAGTTGGGTTCATATACATATTCCTGCTGATTGGGTAACACCTCTGACACACCCACCAAATGAGACAAACCTCAAAGCCCATTGCACACCATTTCACACTGTCTTAAGGAAAGTCACCAACTCTTTTTGTTTGACTGTACAGGGACAGGTGTGTGGCCTGTGTGGCAATTTTGACGGTGACGGGCAGAACGACTTCACCACCCAGGGTCAGCTGGTCGTGAGCAATCCTTTAGAATTTGCAAACAGCTGGAAAGTGTGGCGTGACTGCCCAGATGTGGATATGAATGCTGACCCCTGTGGAGCAAGACCCAATCGCCATTACTGGGCAAAAACGATGTGCAACATTATAATGGGAGAAACGTTCCACCAGTGCCACTCTAAGGTAATGACCCATTTCTGATTTATCATTATTTAAAGTATGATGGTTGAAAACATTCTAAACAAACAAAACAAAACATTTTAAAACTGTCATATATCTTGGTAACTCAACAGGTAGATCCCCGTCCATTTTATGACAACTGTGTGACAGACTCGTGTGCCTGTGACTCTGGAGGAGACTGCGAGTGTTTCTGTTCTGCAGTCGCAGCTTATGCTCAAGCTTGTAATGAGGCTTCTGTCTGCGTTGCATGGAGAACTCCAGAAATCTGTCGTAAGTAAACAACGATTTTATCCTCAGGTTAAAATGAGTTTTTCCAGCCCTTTCTGGTGCTTAAAACTTGTTTTAGATTCCAACATTTTTATTACCTCAGCATTTAAAGATTGTTCATACACGCTGTGTATTTTTATTATTTAACATGCGAATGGACACTAAATGTAATGTAAGTTGATGTATATTATACACATTATATGGGCATCAGTGCGTGCTTCATGAGGAGTATATTTTTAAAGACTGCAATAATTTATGTACAGTACATGATCCCTTTAAGTGAGTGAGAACCTCCCAAGTTTACAAAACACTAAACACAGTCCTCAGGCCTAAAGGAAATACAAACCCAATTCCAAAAAACTTGGGACACTGTGTAAAATGTAAATAAAAATATGCAAATATTTTTCAACCTATATTCAATTTAAAAGAAGGCAAAGACAAGACATTTAATGCTCAATCTAATTAACGTTATTGTTTTGTTTTTTTTTGTATATATAAACTAACTCATTATGAGATTGATGACTGCAATATGGAACTAAGGACACTAATTGTTGAAGTTTTAAAAGTGAAATTCTTTCCCATTATTACTTGATATATCACTTCAGTTGCTCAACAGTCCGAGATGTCTGTTGTTGTGTTTTGGGCTTCATAATGTGCCACAAGTTCAATGAGAGAGTTCTGGACTGCAGGCAGGCCAGTCTGGTACCTGCACTCTTTTACTGCAAAGACACACTGTTGTCACACGTGCAGAATGTGGCTCGGCATTGTCTTGCTGGAATAAGCAGGGACGTTCCTGAAAAAGACGGCTTCTTGGTGGCAGCATATGTTGCTCCAAATCCTGTATGTACCTTTCAGCAGTCATGGTGCCTTCACAGATGTGTAACTTAACACACCCCCATACCATCTCAGATGCTGGCTTTTGAACTTTGCACTGATGACAATATGGATGGTCCTTTTCCTCTTTAACCCAGAGGACATGATGTATGTGATCTAAAAAACAATTTGAAATGTGGGCTTGTTCGACCACAGCACACTTTTCCACTTTGTCTCAATCTATCTCAGGTGAGCTCAGGCCCAGAGAAGTCAGCAGCATTTCTGTATGTTGCTGATATATGGCTTTAACTTTGCATGGTGGGGTCTGAACTTGGATTTGTTGATTCAGCAGCCAACTGTCTTTACAAACAAAAGTTTTCCAAAGTGTTCCTGAGCCCATGTAGTAATATTCTATATACAGTCATGTCAGTTTTTAATGGAGTGCAGTCTGAGGGGTCAAAGGTCACGGTCAGCTTTGCCCCTTACATAGAGAGATTTCTCCAGATTCTCTAAATCTTTTGATGACATTATGGATTGTAGATGGTGAAATCCCTTAATTCTTTGCAGTTGTGCTTTGAGAGATGTAGTTTGTAGACTGTTGGACTATTTGCCCACACAGTTTTTCACTAAGTGGTTAACCTTGTTCCATGCTTGACTGCGTATCCTTTTGAGGATGTCCCTTTTATACCCAAAAATAACACTATCACCTGTTAACTGTTGACCTGTTTACCTGCAAAATGTGCTAAACAGATATTCTTTTGAGTATTTCACATTTTCCCCAGTGTTGTTGCCCCTGTCCCAACTTTTTTGCAAGATGTTGTAGATATCAAATGAGTGTATATTTACAAAAAAACACTAAAGGTTATCAGTTTGAACATTAAATATCTAGTCTTTGTTCTGTATTAAACTGAATATAGATGGAAAAGAATTTGCAAAACAGTCTGTTTTTTCCTACGTTTTACACGATGTCCCAACTTTATTGGAATTGGAGTTGTGTAATACAAGATTGTATCAGATTAAGTTTAAGTTTGAGGTCTCTTTTTCTAAATGACACATCAACACTTCCTGTCTTTAAAACATAATATACTTTGTGTCTTTTCTGTCTAGCTGTCTTTTGTGATTACTACAAAGGCCCAGGTGAATGCAAGTGGCACTACAATCCTTGCCACAAACCTTGCTACAAGACCTGTTTAAATCCAAACGGCACTTGTACTGAACCTTTACCCAAACTGGAAGGTAAGAGGTTAACACACGCTCACTATTATTACATGCACAAAGTATTTCAGTTTTTGCCCTTATTCAGAAAAGGACAACATTCATACTAAGCTGTTTATATGGCTAATGAAAATCAATATTGCATATGATGATTAACAAACCCAGACGAAATATAGAACAGTGGAATGCATGGAGCAGGTTGTCATTTTGCTTATTTGCATCAAAACAAGTTTAGTTAAGTTTTCTCAGTGGTGGCGGACTTGTTTGACCGTATGAACACAGCCTCCCTCTTTCATTCCATAAGTTACCTTCTTGTAAAGGTCGGTATCGCGATATTTGCACGTATCCAACAAACTGTTGATATCCAAGTCTTTCATAATGTTTAAAAGTAGTTGTGTTTCTCCTTCCGACCAGACATGATTGCTTTTCTACTGGCATGCATTTCTACACCAGCCTTGCAAACTGTAACTAGTAGGTATGGCTACAGCTGGAGCAGCTACGTGAACCACCCACTAGCTACATGACTCACCCTCCTTGCCTACACAATCAGTTCTCTTTGCTTCAGCTCCAGAGGTGGAAGCCCTGATGGTGCTAAGTTAGCATTTAGCCAACAATGAGTCTTTCACAGTAGCCACTCATGGTATTGCAACAAACAAAAATCATGTTCAGGCCAAAGTAAACTAGGAATAAATTTTGCGCATTTTGCACGGAAATCTGTGATTTATGTGGCGAAAGTGCAGCGTCTTTGAAAAAATGTGGTCCCTGCATAAATAGGCGGATTTTGGCTGATTATGCGTTGAATTATGCGATCGCATAATCGCGTTTTTCTGTAGGGACTGAAAGTTTATGTCAGCATCAACATAGCGGTGATGGTCCTAGATCAACATTGCGATTTTATTCAGGATGAACATGACAGTGAAGTCCCTGAATCAAACAAATTATGCAGGATAAAGATGATGATGATGATGATGATGGTTCTGGATCAACAAACATATTATCCAGGGTTAACGTGTCAATGATGGTCCTGGATCGACACGAGCACTGCAATCATGCAAAAAAAAAAAAGTTGACCAGGCTGTTAAAAAGGAGGGAAAGTATACTTCTCTTCTAAGAGTAAGGATGATGTCCTTTGCAGGTCTTTACTACTGCAAAATGTCATCATCCTTACTCTTAGAGGAGAAGTATACTTGCTGCAGACAACGTGTGCGCGTACGCATGATGGCTGCCATGTGTATTTTGCTGTCACTTGGCGCGTAGGCCGCTCACTTTGATGGGAGGTAATGTGACGCTTTTGTTAGATGCAATATTGACATGAACCCTAGAGGTGCTCGTGTAAAGTAGACCTCTAGAGACCGTGAATGTGAGGTTGGGCCGCACATACCATATCCGATGGCGGCAGAGACGATGCCTTCTCCTCCTCAAGATCTTAAAAGACATACAATTATAATCTCCTCTTCATCGAGAGTATCCATGTTTGTGTATAGCCTACTACATCTGGAAATACAGTGTCACGCCTTCATCGCTTTTCTGTGGTCTGCCCCTAGCAGAGACCACCAGTATCAGGCGTTCTGGCTGCGTCGACAAACGACCGTGCTGCAGCAAGTATACACAGAGGCGCAGCACACTATGTACGCATACGTTTGGTCACGCAGCCAGTAGATTTGTGCCCTTAATGTTAATGAATAATATTTTAGCCTATTGGCAAGCTTACTTGTTAGCATGCTAACTTGCTAACCTTGTAGTAGCTTATAACGGTTTAGTTCAATGTTGCTGAAGATCTTTTTTAATTGTACTAACTTTAATTTGGAAAAGTAGCTTAGCTCTAAAGAAACACAAAGGAATTTTTAAACAAGCACAAGAGCAGCACACTGATGATGTCAGAGGGCTGTGAACGATTGATTGCAACTGGAATGCGATGTGAAATGTTGATCCAGGGGCATGTCCTACTTGGCAAAGTCACATACAAAAAAGTGCAATTAAAAGTCGAAAAATACTATGTAATAATAATCCCACTTTTCTCAATCAAAAAATGCAAAACTCAGAAAAAAGAAGCCAAATTCCAAAAATCCAAGTGGGATATTATATTTACATGTGTGCATGTAAACGTACCCAATGTCTGACTTTACTTCTGATTAATGTGCCCCCCCCCCAAAAAAAAAAACCCAGTAAAGCGATGCTTTTACTTTAAAAAAATACTGTATTATGTTTTCTGCTTTGATTTGTACAGGCTGTTACCCTGTATGCCCAGACGATAAGCCCATATTCGATGAGAAGACTGGGTTGTGTGTGGAGGTATGTCCAGGCTGCTTTTACAACGGCACTAGATACGAAGAAGATGAAGTCATTTACAATGTAACCGACAACATGGGAATGTGCTACTATGCAATATGCAAGAATGCAACAGTGATACATAAAAAGTTCATTTGCACAACTACAACTCCCACTGCTACCACAACAACCCCATCAACTACAACTCCCACTACAACCCCTTCAACTACAACTACCACTACTACCACAACAACCCCATCAACGACAACTCCCACTACTACCACAACAACCCCATCAACTACAACTCCCACTACTACCACAACAACCCCATCAACTACAACTCCCACTACTACCACAACAACCCCATCAACTACAACTCCCACTACTACACCCCCATCAACTACAACTCCCACTACTACCACTACAACCCCTTCAACTACAACTCCCACTACTACCACAACAACCCCATCAACGACAACTCCCACTACTACCACAACAACCCC